GATTCTCCTGCCTCCGCCTCCCAAGTAGCTAGGACTACAGGCACTGCCACAATGCCTGGCTATTTTCTGGTTGCAGCCATCGTTGTTGTTTGGCAGGCCCGGGCTGGATTTGAACCTACCAGCTCAGGTGTATGTGGCTGGCGCATCAGCCACTTGAGCCACAGGCACTAAGCCTCCTTTTTTTGAGACAGTCTCACTTTGTTGCCCTAGGCAGAATGCCTGGCATCACAGCTCACAGCAATCCTAAACTCTTGGGCTCAAGCGATTCTCTTGCCTCAGCCTCCCAAGTAGCTGTGACTACAGGTGCATTTCACAATGCCTGACTACTTTTTAGAAACAGGGTCTTGCTCTGGCTCAGGCTGGTCTTGAACTCCTGAGTTTCAAGCAATCCACCCACCTCGGCCTCCCAAGTCCTGGGATTATAGGCGTGAGCCACCAAGCACGGCCTTAATTTTTTTTTTCTTTAAGAGACAAGAGTCTCACTTTGTCACCCTCAGTAGAGTGCTGTGGCATCACAGCTCACAGCAACCTCCAGCTCTTGAGCCTAGGTGATTCTCTTGCCTCAGCCTCCTGAGTAGCTGGGACTACTGTACAGGCGCCTGCCACAATGCCCGGCTACTTTTTTGTTGTTGCAGTTTGGCAGGGGCCGGGTTCAAATCCACCACCCTTTGTATATGGGGCTGGGCCCTACTCACTAAGCCACGGGTGCCACTGGATTTTTTTTGGTAGGGATGGTATCTCCCTATTTTGCCCAGGGTGCAGAACTTCTTACCTCGAGCCATCCCACCTTAGCCTCCTACTGAGATTATAGGCATGAAACACTGGGCCCAGATCAAAATATCATGTTTCTTTTTGTCAAATGTTTTCCTATACTTAGAAAATAAGTATCTTTACTGAACCGGAGTAGGGGGAACAAAAAAAAAAAAAAAAAAAAAAGAGTGAGAGAAATACAATATGGCTACAAAAAGTGAGGTAGATGAATAATAACTTCTCCAAAGTGTTTACAATATACATATCATTTTAATTCACTCAGCAGATACCCAGACCTAATAAGTGCTAGACAGCACAACGTTCTAGATACTAGACACAGGACTGAGGTGACTCCTTGTGGATATACCGACTTACATAAGCATGTACATACATATAAAAGCTGAAAACATCTCTTAGAAACTAGGTATTTGAAAGAGTCCCCCATCTATACTTTAAATTATCTTGCAGTGAATGGCTACTGATTTTGTAATAACCATTTTTAAATGGTGAAGTGGCCTTAGCTTTTTATATGTACAGAAAGTAAACACGTCTTCCCCTTTTCAGGGGTCCAGTAATGTAAGCCGGCTTCTAATGGCTGCCGGGTACGTTCCTGGGTCCCTGAAAGTTTCTTCAAGTCTTCTGTCGGCTAAAGAAAACAGGCGGTTCCGGCAGAAGTCACGGCGCGCAACAGCATCGCTGGGCAATGTGCGTCGCCATCTGCTGCCCAGGCACGCACATCTGAGAAGATCCCCAGGGCAGCCGAGTCCCCGGGGACACCTCTAGGCAGGGGACCGGTCTGCTCCGCGCGCCCAGCCTCAGCCCTGCGTCGCGGCGGGGGCTGCGGGACGGCCACGGTCCGACCTTCCAGTCCCGGGCCCAGGTAGTGGGTCAGCGGCCCAGCCAGGACGGCGGGAGGTCCCCCGCAGGCCGCGGCCCAGCCGGCGCTGCACACCCCCACCCTAGTCCCCTAATGGCTCAAGGTGACGCAGCCTGCATGGGCACGGACCTCCTTTACCTTCACCGCCCCTACTCGTCCTTGCCGCAGCAAAAGCAGGGAAGCCATGGTGTCAACAGCCAGGCGCACCGAGTGCTAAAGCGGCAGCTGCGCGCGCATCCGCACCTAAAACCCCGCCCCTTGGGC